ATGTTTCTGAAAAAAGTCTCTTCTGCTCACCAGTGCTTCATTTATTTGATCAAAAATACAGTAAAAATGTTAAATATTCTTGGAATTTAAATCAGCAGTTTTTCCTCATTCAGATGAGCTCTGAACACAAACACGCACTCAGCAGCTCACACCTTTACCTGCCACACAAAAGCGCATTAGCACACTGGACGCAGATAAAGAGGCTTTTGTTCCCTGATAATCCATCTGTCGCGCACTCACTGTGTGGAAACTATCAGCCATTGTGGCTCACGGAATGTTGGGCTCAGTGACACTTCCTGTTGCAGGACAGTGCACTTCCTGTCACCTTCCTCCTGCTGTCAGAACTGGACGGTCGTTGTCAGCAAACAGAAAACAATGTTCCCGTCCGTCACCGTTTGAAAGAATTTCACTGAGATGAAAATACAGTTTTCTCTTAAATGTGGTGTTTCTCAAAAAATAATGCAAAAATATTTATGCAAACCTTCTCTTTGTTAGATCCACAGAGAAAAATAAAAGTTTGAGTCAAAAGTTTGTAATAATTATGATTTTTTTTACAAATGTTTTTGAAAGTCTCTTCTGCTCCCAAAGATTGCATTTATTTGATCGAAAATGCTAAAAATCCAGTTTGCATCATAGGAATAAATTACATTTTAAAATATACTAGAACACTGCTTTAAAAAAAAGTGTAAATGTTTACAATATTACTGTTTTGTACAGTATTTTTGATCAAATAAATATTGCCTTGGTGAGCAGAAGATACTTTAAAAATGGTTTTAATTATTCCAAATTTTTGACTGCTACAATATAATATTATAATATAATATGTAACAGTATAATTTAATATAACATGTAACAATCTAAAATGTTATATAATATAAAATATAACACATTAATACTATTTTTTTCACATGATCTTTTTCTAATTCTAAGAAACATTTCTGATTATCATCATCAGTGTTGAAAACATTCATATTTGTGCGGAAACCGTGACGCATTTGATTTTTCAGGATTCACAGATGCATAGAAAGTTCAGAAGAGCAGCATTTATTTCAAATAGAAATCTGTTATAACATTAGAAATGTCTTTACTGTCACTTTTGATCGATTTAATGAGACCTTGATGAATAAATGTATTAATTTCTTTAAAAAGTGACTGACTTCAAGTGTTTGAGAGGTGTATGTTTCAGGTTTTTAGGCACAGATTAAGTACTTGACGACAGAATGATCATGAAACGGTAATTTCAGATCATCAGACGCAATCCTTCATCTCATGACTGAACGGCTGAAGAAGCTTCACAAACCAGTGCTGTAATCAATTAGCAATCAGAACTCTCCACTCTCATTAAACACCAGCTCATCAAGAGCCAACCATTCTTAAAGCGACAGTCCATCCAAAAATGATAATTTTGCAGTGAATGAAGTGAATGGGTGCCGTCAGAACGAGACCTGATAAAAAGTAAACACTCCAGTCCATCAGTTAACATCTGGAGAAGACACAAGCTGAAACTAATCCAGCATTAAGATGTTTTTCTAAAATAACATTGCTTCTGGCTAAAATATGAGGGTATTACATCTTCCAAAAATATTTTGTGTTCCCAGAGTTTTTTTTTTTTTTTAAATGTATAATTCTGAGTTTTTGTCTCGTTTTGTTGCCGCCACAGAATAAAAAACAAAGATGGTAATTGCATCGGTAATTTATCTCACAGTTCTGACTTTTTTCACAGTTCTTGTGTTTCTCAGCTCTCAGTGTGAGGGTCAAAGACGTTAAGATCAAAAGAAATGTACAAAAGTGATTATATGTTCATAGAAAGCACACTGAATGTAAGTAAAGTGTCTACTTGGAAGGTTCCAAATACGTTTTTGGAGGATAAAATGTTACAATTTGGTTGAAATAATGTTACATTGTCATTCAGTGTCACACGATATTTATGTAAAAATTGAAACATGTTTATTCTGGCGTGTACATATTAAAATATATAAAAGAATAAGAGAGCATATGACCTTTTATTGTGTTTTAAATGAGTAAAAATGATTGCTGACAAACGGGCGAAACCGAGGATAGTGGCACATTTTAAAAATGTAAAATTACAACTGATTAGTATTCGGGGTGAAAGTAATTAGTTGTTATTTTTGTTGTAAATATGCCTGAGAAGATTGTTACTCTGAATGATATTTTAGTGGCTCTTCTGTAAATCAGGGGAAAATGTATGATATTTATTTTTTGCTCAGAAAAACAAAAACAAAATTGCAATCAAATTAAACATAATTAAAAAATAATTGGGGGGGAAAAATAACAATAATTTAAAGCAGTATTACACTTATTGTTTTTATGCTTAAACCCTTTTTCGTCTTTGACCGGTTTAGGGTTAGGGTTATAAAATTGCAAGAAAAACATCAGAACTGTGAGATAAAATGAACTCTAAAATTATTACGTTATTTAACCTTACAGATTCTGCTTCGATAATAAAAGAATACATAAATATTTAAAAACACTATAAAACCTTCTCCAATATTTTTTGCATCTACAAATGATCGTGATTTCTCATAATTGTGCAATTAGAAATTGTGTTTCTGCATATTTTGAATTAGATTTTATTTTTATTTTTTCTGCTTTCATGATAATTTTAGTTAAAGTTTTAGTAATTCTGTTGTGTGTTTCTCATTCTTATTAGTTCTTAGTTTATTAGTAATTCTGTTTTAGTTTTTATTATTTTTGTGCATCAATGAAAATGAGAAATGTTGCCTTGGAAACTAGTTTTAAGGTTTTTATATTTTATTCTGTTTCAGATAACATTTATTTCATTTTTTTATGGTTTCAGTTTTAATTTTAGTTAACCCTGATTCTGAGTTTTTCTCACGGAATAAAAAAATTTGGACTTTTTTTCCTCGCAATTGTGAGTTTATGTTTAAATCTCGCAATTCTGAGAAAAATTGTGAGATAAAAAGTCAGAATTACTTTTTAAACTTTTTATTCAGTGGCAGAAACAGGATTCCTTGGATGCATTTTAATCTGATTGGCTGATTGAAAACAGAGGCTGCGTTTGATTGGCTGATTCTCAGAGGTCAGCAGGAGAGGGCGGGTCTTAATTCAGCTGAAATGAAGAGATCAGAAATGATTTTATCATTAAAGACACACTGCATTCATTACTTTAAGAACTGATTGTTATATTCGTGTGAGTAGTGTTTATTCTGATACTTCTCTAATTCTGGTGGCGTCTCAGAACAGACGGCGGCTTATCTGTGCTCTGTTCTGTTCTGAATGCTGGCGCTGAGTTTCTTATGTAAGATTTGAGGTTAATTACTGAATGCTCATTATATCGTCTGTGTATGAGCAGCTGACAGCAATTACACAGGACAGACGACCTCTATGCATCGCTTCAGCACCGCGTCTGCGTCTTAAAGGGGTCATATGATGCTTCTAAAAATAACATTATTTGGTGTATTTGGTGTAATGAAATGTGTTTATGCGGTTTAAGGTTAAAAAAACACATTATTTTCCACATACTGTACATTATATTTGTGCCGTGAAAACACACCTCAATCCCTAACCCTGACAGCCAATCAGCACAGAGCTGATCACACGTCTCAGTGACTAGAACAAACAAGCCTTGCGTTTTAATACAGCTGAGATCAATGTCCAAACAGGTACGTTCATGCAACTTACACAAAGGAAAATAGTTATTATTGTTCAAGTGTGCGCTCAAATCTGAGAGTTCTTGAAAAAAAAAGAAAAATAATAGCACGATGTCCAGTGGATTATGGTCATATTCAATCCACTGGCTGTCATGAGAATGAGATTTCCACAGTTGATGGTCCCTCTGGTGCAGCCGCCTCACAGGGCACCGGTCCCCCTGGCGCAGCTCCGCAGCAGAGCTCAGAGGATCTCCAGAGACCAGCGCTGATTCAGTTTGTCTGCGTGGAATTCGTTCAGAATAATCTGGTGTTTGTCGAACTGTTGACCTCCTGCAGAGAAACCGAGAGAGAGCATAGAAAGGAAAACACTGTCATGATTTTTATTTCTTTTTTTTTGCATAAAGTGCTTAAATGTCACAATGCAAAAGAAAATAATAATGGCTCATCAAACATTCTTTATGCAAAACTTTTTCATCCAGCAGGTGGCGCTGCAGGCTCATGCTGCCAAACACAACTTTAACATCAGTCCTGTGGATTCATGAGGAGGCTTTGTTTTTAAGAAAACACTTAATGAGTTTATGTCATCAGTTATGAAGGCTGTTTAAGGAATATTCTGGCTCAAATACAACTCAAACATAATTACAGATCAAAAGAAATGTACAAAAGTGATTATATGTTCATAGAAAGCACACTGAATGTAAGTAAAGTGTCTACTTGGAAGGTTCCAAATACGTTTTTGGAGAATAAAATGTTACAATTTGGTTGAAATAATGTTACATTGTCATTCAGTGTCACACGATATTTATGTAAAAATTCAAACATGCTTATTCTATCATGAAGAGTTTACTGACCCTTTAGACTTTTTTGTATAATTGAACAGTTTGTTGAGCCTTTAGAATTATTTTTTTATTTTTTTATCTATTTCTTGGTTCAAACTTCAGAAGATTGTCTGATTACAAAATATAAAAAAGTGTCTGTTTTATGTTTTGCATCATATTTGCTCCATCAGGCTTTTATGACTCGTATAGTCTGATACATATCTTTATAACAGTACAGTGCAGCAGATACTGACATAAAATGCTATAAATCTCAGCGGTCGCTCTGTATCTCCAGTAATAAGATGAGAGTGAAATGCTCCACACATATAATGCAGTGATTGAGAGCTGAAGAAATAAAGGCTCCTCAGAAGATGTGAGATGTTCTGGAGGCTTGTGAAGATCATTCCTCCGCTGAGGAACAGTGAAAGTAAAGCTTCTGGAAACAAACATGACTGAGATCAGCTGTATCTGAGTGTCTCTCTGACCTTTGACCTCCAGCACGAGCTCTGGTCTGGCGTGACTCCGGATGATCCCGTCACTCGTGACGTTCCAGAGCTGCTGCGGTTTTCCGGCTTCAGCGGAGAGAACGACTCTGCTCCCGGACATCAGGACACCAGAACTCACGTCCACACACACATCCAGCAGACTCTGAGATACACACACACACACACAGAGATACACACACACACACACAGACACACACACACAGAGATACAGACACACACACACACACAGAGATACACACACACACACGCACACACACACACACACACATTATTATTAAATATATAAAATATATTATATAATGCTTTATATACACTATACTCTACACACACACACAATTACATTTGATTAATTACTGAACAATTAATCAGACAAAAAGCAGAAATAAAGTGTGTAATTTCATAATTATTATATGATAACATTTAATTTTATATTAATAATATAATATTTATTTCTTTATGCATATAAATGTATCTGTGTTATAACAATGTTATAGTTTTTAAATACATTTTTTTGTTTAATTAGTTTTTGTTCATTTTTGAATTAGATTTTATTATAATTTATAACTAGAATTTAAGTTTAAGTTTTAGAATTAGAATTTAAGTTTTATTTATTCGTTAATTTTTTTATTTATTAGTTTGAGTTATTTTAGCACTTCAACTTAAATTCAACAAACATTTGAAATGTTGAAAACTGATACATTTTTATTATAGATTTGATTTCAGTTGTTTATAATGTTTATTTTATTTCAACAACATACATATATATATATATATATATTTGTTTTTTATTTTTTCTAAAAATGTCTTGCTATTTGTCTCAAGTCACAGCATACAAT